CCGCCCCGCACCCTGTTTTCGGGCGCATTAAGTACAGTTGGCGAAAATGTTCTCACCGTTTTACGGGATTTGTACTGCACGCCGCCGTGGGCAAAACGTTTATTCGCGTATTGACTGCGCACGGTTTATCCGGGATTCAACAGTTAGCGGCTACGTATTATTGTTTTAGATGTATAATAGGTACAATATATCCTGGTCCGAGATCGTGCCATCGATCATTTGTCTCGTGTCGGTTCCAAATAAACAAAATCACAACTATTGTTAGGTACAGGTATAAACAGTATAGAAATTCATTTTCATTTTCATTTTTTTTTTACACCACACACAAAATAAAGAAAAATCAAGAGTATAACCTGCAATTTTTCAAACAAATGAAAATCTGAAATTTTGGGTGGGTGTTCGACTTACGTCCTCACCTACGTCACGTAATGATATGCATAATAGGTGCCGGACCTGCGGATGAATTTCGTATACAGAATGAGACGCCGATCTTATAGTCGGAGACTGCAGTACACGTGTGCACTATACGTCTATATGCATATTTTAATAAAAAAAAATATAACTCAGTTAATTGACATCGTGTTAATCATTATAGAAATATATTAACATCGAACATTTACGTCCTAAGATTAGACAGTGTTGATGTTGATTTCAAAATATACGTGATATCAATATTATTCACTGCAAACACTGACAATACTGTGTTTAATATCCTTCCTGCTGAAAACAAAAAAAAAAAAACTCTTAAATAAAGTATGTGCATGTTAAAAATTATTTCATAGTATAGTAAATTACTAATTACTAATATAAATACTATCGTCACAGCGTTCCTATATCCAATCTTTTGTCGGATCAATTAAACACGCGATGGAATCGCTTGCACATGTAATGCGTATATATTATAATAATAATAATAATAATAACTAATAAGGAAACTTTACTTGTATTGATAAAATCTGTCGATTTGTTCGCTATTCGTCATCTGATTATATCTAATATTATTATTATTATTATTATTATTATTTTTATTAGCCATCGCGCATTAAAATATCATACTCCCGTTGTCACAACAAGGGTTGATTTTTTCGTATTATTTATTCCGATCGCATAAAACGTTCTTTCGGGCGATGACGACGTCACGGTTTTTGTCACTACGAAAATCTGCGTGACATCCGTGTAAGCAGTATAATATACGCAGTTCATCCCACTCGACGAGTATAATATCATAGAACATAACAATAATAATAATAATAATAATGCATTATCTTTTGTCGCGTTCTATACGGACAGCTGCTATTGGTGTGTAATGCGATTATACCGCCGGGCCGTCCGGGGCCCGAAAAAAACAATGACCGTTGCGCGAGGACGACTGCAAAATACGCTCATCTGCTGATGCGAAGTCGGCAATACCGCGTTGTCCGTCTATGACGTGTGCATATTGCGGGGGGACCGCCACCACCTGCGACCGACGATAAGTCTCTCTACGCGACCGTCCGCTGTAGGGAGGGGGCACCTGTTTTCCGACTGCAATTATAATATTGTACGTGTCGTCGTGTACAACCCGAATCGTGAATACGAATACAAATTTTGTTTTGTTTTTTTTTCATTTTTTTCACCCTCCCCCACCGGATGATCATTACACGAGTATAATATAGGACAGTAATGTTTTTGACTTGGCGCGGTGCTGATACCGATTAGCCTAGATCTCGGATCGTGGACACGTACGCGGCGGAAAAAAATATTTAACAAGTCTATATAGCTTATAACTGATATCTATCGATAGAGTACCTAGGAGGAGGAAGGTTGGGGGGTTATATCCCCCATCGTAATTTTTTTTTTAATCGGTCCACCTGCTATACATATTATATTCTGTGTTACGATAAATGTTTTAACTGCATACAGATCTCGTACAAATCAAATGTGGAACATATCGATAAACTTGTGTATACTCACTCATCAGTCGTAATAACAGCTTCAAATCTTAACAATATGATTTACTTGAACTCTGAAGCGTCTGGTGTCAATATAGGTTCGGCGCATGATCGACGTCTAAAGTGTGACTATATGATACTTCAGGAAAAACGTACCTTAACGATTCGCAGCACAGACTATAATATGTAACATACTTGCCTCTACAGTCTACACGTTATATAGTTATAAAAGCACGTACTTTTATGGTACTAGTATACTTAAAACTGATATCTGAGTCTATGGTTATAAGCTATATATTAACAATAATATAACTGTTGAAATCCCGCTATTCGGGTCTTTAGTTCTGCCCCCCCAAAATTCACTAAAGTGTATGATTACATAAAGAATCCCCTCCCGGATCCTATTGAAAATTCCTGAGTAATCTGTTGGTATCTATTTTCGTGTATGATCGTCTTCAAAAACAGTCGGTTGGTTTATTATTTCGGGCGATACCCGTTTGCGTACATTTAACCTTTTTTGCGACTCGTTTGCGTACAAATGTACAACTCGATTGCGCACACGAATTTTTAATACCTGTGATAAATGACCCAAAACGTAGGACTCGTTTGCGTACATAAACTAGGTATAGCAAGTCTACTAAAACGTCTAAACAAAAATAATGTTTAAGATTGTTTTCAAAAATTTTCCTTCTCACTTTTACAGGCTTAGGACTGTCTGTTTACAACAGGCGTGATTAAAAATGTCTTTTTACTATTTTATTAATTTTAGTGCAATGTATTTAGTATTTTTGTTTTTGTAATGTAATTTAATGTAATTTAATGTAATTTAATGTAATTTAATGTATGTTTAATGCTTCTTTGTCGTTAATTAAACTAATTTGTCGCTATAATATTTTGTTCCGATTTGTTTTAAATATTCCAATCGATTTATAGATTTGTTACATAATTGTCTGAAACATATTTCTAAAAAATTTAATTTATTTATGGTGTCTTTTCGTTGAACATTATTAATACTTTTCTTTATTGAGTTTAATTTTAAATCTGATTCTGATTGAATTTGTAATATTGTGTCTATAACTAGGTAAATATTTGGATGTGGCGAGTAAAATTGACTATTGTAATGACGATGAAAACTTTCTACGCCATTTGTTGTCCTTGGATTATTATTACTTGGTGCACTTGCCCACATAACTGGAGGGAAATCTGAGTCAATCAAAATATAATTTTCTAGAATATAATCTGTGAATTGCGTAAACATAGTCGTAGGTGCAATTGATAGCAAGTCCGTAAAGCCGTCCGAGATTTCATCTGGTGGTAAATAACTTAAACCGAAAAAACACTTAAGCCATGCACCGATTTCTGATGAATTGTTTAAATATTCGTTTAATAGTGGTTTATTTTGTTGGATATGTCGATACCAACTTTGCCCGAGATGGAAATTACAACAAACTAATTTACAATTTGGAAACTTTTGTAATACAGCATTATGAGCGGCTTTTTCAAAATCAGCATGGAAAATATTTATTTGAAGTTGCTTGTTAGTCAGTTGCACACATAATTTTCCTAACATTTCCCATAACATCAAATAAGTCGAAGTCTGTTTGTTGCGTAAAAAACAATAAACAAGAGGAATATAATAGTTATTTTTGTAAATATGTAATGTATACAGTTGCATAAAAAATTTTGGAGCATAAGTAAACGTTCCATCTCCAAAAACATGTTCCGCGTTTGAAATTGCCTCTAAATTAATTTTGCACGTAAATATAATTATATTTTTGTCATCACTAATAAAACAAAATTGTTCACCCTTGTATTGAATTTTATTTTGCATTTCATTTAACTGTTCTATAGCAATTTCAGTCGATGTCGGTAAATTAGGAAAATGCTTTCTTCTTATGTCATATATAGAACGCCTAAACAACTTCATATCCGTATGAGTTAAATTTAACGAAATATCCTCCATATTTTGTAAATCACGACGTATCAATTTACTTGGAAGTATATGTAAGTCATCATTTGCTTTACGTTTTAAAGAGCTTCTAATAATTTCTCTAGAAATTACCTGGTCAGTGTGTGCTTCGTGATTGTGTTCGTTTGAAGTATTAATTACCCTGGTAATCGATTCATTCACTGTAACTCTTGATGTACATTTTTTATTGGTACATCTAAACAACAGATCACCCGATTTTAAAATACGAAATTCACTATACTTATAGTTTTCAATGTTAAAACAACGTTTTCCTCTGCGCGTTTCAAAAACATTTAATATTTGAATGTCCATGGTAATACACGAAATAAAATAACTGGTATCTCGATAGCATCACACGTTCGACTAAACAATAAACCTATAGTAACATACAGCGGTCATCGCAATAACGCACCCATTTATCTAAAATCACATTATCGTTTAGAACCAACTATGATAGTTAATCAATTACGTGCATCTTATCTTGTCTAATTTAATAGTTGTACGCAAACGAGTCGTCATTTTTCAGGTCAAAATTAGTATTAACCGGGTTTTCATGTTTTTCGATGTACGCAAACGAGTTGTCAGTTTACAGGTAAAAAATTGTGTACTGTGCGCAAACGAGTATCACCGATTATTTCATATTATTTTTTACGTCCGCTTTTTACTGTACTGGGCAATCGTACGCAGCATATAGTATTACTTTACTCAAACAAAAGCCAGACATAAAGATTTAATTTTGTTTTTATGACCATCTTTTTATTATTATTTATAATTATACAACTGTCATTGTCCGGTGGAACTGATCAATTTAAATTCGGTAGTTTCACAAATAATGTTTTAGACTTTGATCCCTACGTGCTGTATATTCATATTCTATAAGCAACATATGTAATAATATATACTAAATACCTACGACATATAAGGAATTGTTGGTTAAACCACGTTAAACTTAAGCACATAACAATAAATGATAATTACCACGGATAAATAAATCGTAAGTAAAATTGATTTTTTTATTTTGATAAATAGTAAAATCAGCATAATTTTGATATTATAATAATTGTGTTTTTTTTTTTTTTATTAAATCTATTAAATAACAATATATCATAAATGCCAAATTAACACGATTATAAGTCAACTTAGTTCTTAAACACATTTAAAATAAATACAAAACAACTGTGATAAACAAAATAATAACAATAATAATAATAATAATAGATAATATATAATTGTTTATTATTGGTGTTCATCTAACTGTAATGAACTTGCGTCATCAGATATATTGTTACAAAAATATGACGCTTGCATTGAGTACAATCGATCGATTGGATTTGAGCCACAACGTATAACAGTCTCCTGTGATACGAAACCACCATAAATATGTTTAGGTATCATAATATCTGATGTTAAGTAATTTGGTTCTTGGCGGTTTTTCAAGTCTAAAAAAACAAGTTATGAAATGTAATATATAATAATATAAGTACATACTAAAGTATTTAAAATTTACAAACTAGCGGCTAGTTAATTAACTCATTAAGTAAGGTTCATTTTTATTTTCATTTAATTTTATCTACTATGAATATAATGGCGTCAGTCGAATGGAAAATTAGTCAGGGATATAAACATAAATAAATAAAACTAAAAAAACAATATACAATTTATTCAAATAAAAAAGTGAAATAGTAATTTGTTGTTCAAAAAAATGTAATCATAGGGAAAAAAATATTTAGTACTGATATTAAAATTAAATCTTTTTCGATTCATCTCATAAAAAATAAAAATACTGAAAATAGTGAAAAATGTCTCCATCTATTTTTGTTATAATGATAAATTGTTTAATTCTTATTTTATTTAAATAATTATTATTGTATTTATATTTTATTTATTTTTATCTATAAAAATAAATTATTATTATCGTTTAATAATTTTGGTAAAAGTAATTAAAATTTTTTGCATAAAAGTACACTGTGACAAATAATATATAGTGAAAACATTTGAAGAGCTAAAAATAATGTATTATAAGCTATATAAAACTGATAAATTTAATAGCAATATTATTTATTTCTGAAAGTATAAATACAAAATAAATTACAAATGAAAATTCTTCGAAAAAGTATAAAATGAAATTAGATAGGCACTCGACAATATTGTTTAAAAGCAAAAAAGGATCAAACACAACTATACAATATACATACTAAGTAACAGATATATTTGATTTCAAACATTAAATTTAATGAAATTCGAACGGTTATCTCAAATATCAAGATCTTAATGAAAAATTATTCTAGGAAAATACATAATTTATCATTTTTTATTACAGTAATACATAAATATTTTATGTAGTTTAAAAAAAAAAATTGGTATCTATAGGTACTAGAAAAAATATTACAGTTATTTAATATTTTTCTTCTGTATTAATTTAATCTAAAAATGTAAGTATAAGTATAAAGTGTATCTGTGTATATTATTACTATGTAACAGAACAAGTGTAATATAGGCTGGAACGCGTATTATAAAAAGAATGTGCACTCGACCGAAACATTCGGATTGTTTTAAACAAAGTAATTCAAATATTTATTTTAATTTTTTAATTATGTATCCAAGAAGATTTAATAGTACCTACTACTTAGCTTAGTATATAAAAGAATATACGATACATGCACGGTCAATGAACTCTTTCTTGACAGGATATAGTTATTGGATATTGGATATTTGTTTCATTTTGGAGTATAACTCTGAAATGGAATAAAGGCAATATGATATTGTATTATAAGTACAAAATATACTTAACGTTTATGTTAAGGGCCTTAACAGCATGATTTTTTTTTTTTTTTTACAATAATTATATGAAATGCTTTGGGAGACTGTAGAAAAAATAGTAAAAAAATAATATTTTTACGATATTTATGTAAAAATTAATGAATACCATATTTTAAAAATATTTTAATTATTTAACTGTAAATTTATTTTTTTTTAAAAAGATCGATTATCATATGAACTATTTAGAAGCATAAAACATGTAATGCATGCCAAGATATAAACAGTTTAAATGCAATAACAGTTTAGGAGAAAATATGTCGAAACGCGTATTCTATGCCACTGGCCTGCAACCGAGGAAAATAAAAACTAAAAAGAAAATAAACGTTGTCGTTACGTCTATATTTGTATAAGCTAGAACTCGTCATTGACGTGCGCACCCGAGACGACAGGGAAACAAGGAATTGCACGTTTGTCTGTGTGTGTGGAGGTCACACCGCAGGAAGTCCCCGCGGGCGTTAATACGCACGTTTATTATTTTCTTCTCTTGGCAAAATGATCGGAGGCAACAACGACTAGAGAGGGTGTGGTAGTGACGGGGAGTGTACGCGTGTCACCCACCCACGTCTTTATTGGTCCCTACCATCCCTCGTATGCTACCACGGGCTACGTTTCCCCCCTCTACAAATCCCTTTGACAGCTATAAAACCAGCGGCGCGGGGACGAGGGATTATCCCCCCTGTTCGTATAAAGCCTTCGATCACAGCGGGCGCGGGTTTAATATTAAATTCTTCAGACCAGGACGGGCATTATAGAGGGAAGTGTGGTGGTGGGGTTAAGGGTTTTGTATGGGAACCATTACAAATAACGCGGGAGCTTTAAGACGCCAGTACAGAGGAGAGGAGAATCTTCAGGGGGAAAGTCGTTTTCTTCCTTTTTTTCCCCTTATTCCTTTTTATTTTCTCTTTTTTTTCTCCTTTTACTTTATACGCGTACTCCCCTTTAGCTAAATGCTTTCTAGGTCTTGGCTTTTATATTTGCAACCGAAAGAGCAGAAGAGAAAATTCAGTTTGTGTGTATATATAGCATCATTGTATTGCATCAGGGGGATGAATATATATAAAATCATGACCGAATTCTCAATATGACTTTCGTCGAAGAGTACACCATTTATTTATATTAATTATTTTAGTTATAAACAAGTATAAAGACACATTTGTATATATGTGTAGGTATATAATATGTTATTTGTGTTCATGTTGTTCACTAAGTCTTAAATTAAAAATAGAATTTTTTTTAAAGTCTGAAATTAATGTGACTCATTACTCATCCTTTATTATAACTAATAATTTAAATTTAAATTTTTTTGTTGACAAATGTAAAATAAAGATAGTTACTAGGTACTACATTATGTAATATTCGTACAACTCTACAATATTTATACTAATTTTTAATAACGTATATTATGTGTTTTCTTAAAAATATAACTAATTTTACTCAAATTTGAAAGTTAAGACTTAGGGGTTCGTAAATGATTTTTAAGTATAGGTAAAATATAATTGATAACATCTTACAAAATCCTATAAAGTCAAATATATTTAAATAAAACAGATAATTAAATTTTCAACTAAGTTATTTTTTTTAGCCGACATTTCCTATTAATAAAAATTAATTTTAAAATATATTTGTCAATATCATAATTCATAAAATGAATACTACCTTGACCAAATATACCAAAAGGTTGTTGTTGTAGAAATGATGGCATGGAATCTTGTTTTACAACTGCAGGAGATTGGTGTCGTATGTGAAAAGGCTCATGCATTTGTTGCTGAGATTGTCGATGGGATTCTTGTTGTTGAGTCGTTTCGAACCTTCCGGGTACACCATCCTCACAACCATCAGAACCTACAGAATTATTTTACAAAAAAAGTGCGTTCGTAACTATAACGTCATTTAAAAGAACCAACAATGAAATATAATTTAAATTATAACTATAAAAAATATTATAGTACGATTATTTTGTTAAATTTAAATAAGAGGAGTAATATGTACAGTGTATTTAAAACATTTAAAATAAGAACATGGAAAAGTATTTTAATTTATGCTGTGCAACTGAATAATTATATATATATATATATATATATTTAATTGTACAAACGGTTACTTTATTTGTTGACAAAATAGTTATTAGTTATTACTAAACATATAGAAACGGTTTATTATAGCTGCACTTATACGATAAATATAAAAAAAAAAATGAAATTGTACGAAATTTATAAACATGATTACCTACATATTTCTGCGTAAACTGATTGCAATGTTTAACATAATTTTTGTATAAATCTATTGAGGTTGAGAGATGTTGGCGGTGGTGAGATTCAAGTGGGCAGAATACGATTGTGTACGTTTGTCCTTTTTGGAAACACGATTGCGTATTTTTGTGGATGGGTTGTCAAATGTTGTCAAATTTATTAATTTTACCATATACTTAATAAATATCTAGAGAAATATGTACATTTCTACAACAATCAATATAAAATAACGAAGTATACCTAATAAGAATAACTAAATAATAGAAAAATAACTAATAAATAAATAAAATCGTCGATAAACTATTAATAAAGCTTAAAATATTTTGTATACAATAGTGTAAAAAAAAAATCAGGTAAAATTGTACGCAATCGTGTATCTTAAAAAGGTATCACCGATAACGAACATACGCAATTGTGTTTTTTACCCATTCAAGTCACTATGGTTGGCACAACATTACATTACCTATTTGTAAGCAGTTTTTCATTTGTAGGTATTTATGAGGTGGGATAACCGACGCGGCAAACAAGCACAGTGTTATTCTATAGTTTAAGCATTCTGTGGTAGGTAGGTCAGGTTATTGTAACAGATTTTCGGTTAACCCACATCTCATTTAAACGTATGGCTCAGAAGATATGGTAAGAAGGGGAAGAATGGATTATACAATATTATGACCAGTGCATTGTCGTCCGGCTATCATGATGGTGAAGAATGAAACATAATTAAATATTTATTAATTTCCTCCTCTGTCAATGTGGTTAAAAATTGATTGTTTTTGTGTGCTTACTTAAGTATACACTCAATGTTATGTAAAATTATAAATAAAATCGATTTAAAAATAAATTTATAAAATTATATATAATATATAATAGGTAAATAAAATTACTTTGAAAAAAGATAATTTAAATAAAAATAATAAAATTAATAAAATAAAAAAAATTATACTGTTCCATAGAAGATATTTTCCTAGAATTATAATCACTAATTTTCTTTACTAAAATAAATTTAGATTAGATTGATAGGTGAGTCAAAATTTACAGATTTATAACAATTTACAATAATCTATTATAGACGTATATTTTTTCATTTGAAATCTATAAAAATCACACATGAAAAATGTTTGCTGCAATGTATTATGTGACTGCGTAAGAACTGATGTAGATAACTAATTATTATACTCGAGTAGGAATTCCAAATTCATAGTTTTATTTTTACCCGCTATGTCCTACATAGATACTATTTTATTTTGATGTAGCTATTTATTAAATATATCGTTTCGTGATATATGTTTGTCAAAAACTCAAAAGCCACATAAATTAAAAAACCAACGATATAATTCCTGACGTCTATAAATTATATAATAAGATGTTTGTATATATTTATGTATTTAGTTGCTAATCAAAACATTCTTTTAAGAACATAAATACATAAAATAACAGTATTAGATATAAACTATCATAATCATTATATATACGTATATTTTAAACAAATAATAATTTATAATTTATATTATACGTTTTCTATCCAATCACTCGATTTGTGTGACTTATTACCTCTACAACATAAAGGCTATTAAAACCTTATGATGTTATATAAAAAAATTATTGTCACTATAAATGTATTCAAATTTATAAGTATTTACAGAAAAGATAAATTTTAAATTTAACAGCTCTGAATACGCCTTATTATTATGACTGAAATTTTACATTTGTTGTTGTTTTTTTTTTTTTTAATCGATATTAATGTATACACATTTATACATAATATATTATATTTAATAATCGATAATTATTTTTAACTATTTGATTTTTAGAAACAATTATCATATTATATATATATATATATATATATATATATATATATATGTGCGTGTGTGTGTGTGTGTGTGTGTGGCAAACTATATTGAAAAATAAAATTTGGCTTATTTTTTGTTGGTATGTTAGTAAATGAAGAAAATTAATAAATAGATAGCCAAAAATAAATACGGGATTGGGGTAGGAGGTTTTTTCAGCCTGCAAATCGACAGAGGGTGGAGCGTCTTGGTTTCCTTGGTAACGCGTATGACCCTTGTCTTATAGTTCACGGCAGTGGTGGTATAACATCGACACTAAATTCCACATATATATCAAGAATTTCGGTTTGGAAGATTTTAAAAACTTAAATTTTAAGTGTTAGAAAAAACTAATAAGACACAACACATGTTTCATTGTGTATTCATGTATATAGCACCATTACAGAATTTAATTGGCATTTAGACCATGCAGAGGTTGATGTGTAAATATTACTTATTACAATTTATAGGTAAGTAGGTACCTACCAATAAATAAAAATAATACTAGTGTATATTTTATAATGTTATGAGTTTATAACACTTACTGTATTGTTCGTCTTTTATAGCTGATTGCAGAAGTCCACTCGAACTACATGAATTACCACTTTCAGCACCACTACAATTATTTCCATTAATATTATTGGACGAGGCAACTAAACTGTTGCTATTAAGTTTTGCTTTTTTTTGAATCTTTTTCATTTTTGCTCTTTGATTTTGAAACCAAACCTTAAATATAAATAATTTATTTTTAATACCTTAAAGTATTCAAAACTAAACTAAATCAGTTTAGTTGACTGTTGCCTTAGCTCATCATGAAACAATTTAATTTTTGATAGTAGATATACTTATTTAGACACTTATAAAATTAGTTGGTACATAGCTTTAGCCTTTAGCCTAATAAATAGATAATCGAATGAAAAATTTGTCTTATAGAAATTATAATTATTATAAAGCAAAACACTATACATAAATTTATGGCTTATAATTATTTTTATAACTTTATAATATCTATATGATTAAACAAGTCAATTTAAATAAATATTTTCCATACACCATGCGGCTATTGGATATTTAGCTCTCAAAACTTAATATTATCAGGAATTTCTTGAGTAATCGATAGTAATGATAGCATGTTATTATATATCTATTAATTTTGAATTTTAATTCTTATCATGTGTTTAATGTAGAAAACCAGTAATGTGTTCTGTAAAATTTGGTACTCATTTTAATTTATATCGCCGAGAAAAAAAATATGGTAGGTATTTATATTTCAACACTACTAACGATGAACGGAATACAAATAGTAATACGCAAAATAACTGAAATATACAAATCGACTTACCAGAAACTACTGAACATTCCACCTATACAAACTATTCCAAAATTAGAATATATCATTAGTTTTAAAGTCTGTTCTATGAATATATTTAAAACTTATAGTTTTTAGTTAGGTATTTAAGTTAAAAAGTGTTTTTATCAAATAATATTAATTATATATTAAGTAATAATCTGTAATATACGTTATTCTAACCTCAAACCATAAAAAAAAAAAAAAAAAAAAATACCAACTAATATTTTTCTATAGAATATTATTTCATCAGTATTCAATTAATATAGATAAAATAATATTACTCCATTGTATATAATAGAATTTCAAGTGTACATACTTCGTCTTGAGTATGTTACTGAAATGGATGTGTTAATTTGAATTCAATGTCAAATAATTGCATACGAAACGATTCTGTGCAAATATAGATGGATCCCTATCTATTTCGAATGATATTTTATTATAATTATATTTCTTTAATACGGTATGTTAAACTACATTGGATTTAACAATTTTGACGTAATATGTAGAATGATGCAAGTATAAATATCAACAAATTAATTTAAATATTTTTTAAATTTCATTGGATGCTTATGAAATACCTAATAATATACGTAATGGTGAAAGATTTCAAGTCTCTAATGTTCTCTAAAATTAATTTTTTTAGAATTATAAAAAAAAATATATCGATAGAGAAAAAATTATTATTTTCTGTTTAAACATCCAATTAAGTCAAGATTTAAACAGCAAACGTTTATGAAAAAAAAAATTATGTTAATATATTTTAGATATTTTTAGCCATTGTTAGATGAACTTATAGGGACCTTTGTATTACATTTTTAAGTTCATGACTTGAAACAATAAACGACAGTTAAAGAAGTATAACATTATAATTTATAAAATTCTACAAATAGTTCACAAAACTCCAAAAAATTTTAAAAATTATATTATTTCTAGAAAAATAATGCATTACAAATTAAAGTTTACTATATAATATAATTGTTAATAAAATAAAATTCTGAATAACTTCTGATTCAAAATGTAGTTATTCTCAGATATATTAGACATTAATAAACAACCCAAAACATAAATACTGTTTCCACATGATTAATCACAACAATTAAGGAAGTAAAATATACGATTGTTTTATATAGATATTGAACTAATCCAATTTCTTATTTTCAATATTTAATATAGAAGTTTTGACACACGTTAAAACAAACCTGGACAATGCGAACACTTAAGCCTGTATCATGTGCGAGCCCTTCTCTAACTTTTCGACACGGTTTTGGGCTTAATTCAAATGATGCTTTAAACGCACGTCGTTGTTGGGTAGTAAGAATCGTTCTGGGGCGCTTAGGTCCACGGCGACCATCGTGGTTATAACTCCATTCTCCTGTAATCATATTTCATGTAAAAATCTGTAAAAAAAGACTTATGAAATCTGTACTTATTTATTATTTCTGTTAAAATAGTAAAGAAATAAATAAGTAAAACTTTTGATGAACAAATCTCAGAAATGTAATTAAAAAAATTACGAACAAATAGATCATAATATTAAACCAATTAAATTGTAGTATCTGGTTTTCAAATATTTTATCTATTTTTATCGCAGATAAAAATTACTTCTATTACAATTTGATGATAATTAAATTAAAATTATATAAATCAAAAACTAAGTTTTTATTTAAAGCTCAATTTCAATATTATGCTAAAATATATTTATGAATAGATCATGAAATAATAATAATTTTGAATTTTAAACTATTCATGGGCTAGTAGAAAAAAAAACAAAAAAAATATACTAACCAGTGTTTCGGTTGATTTCGTCTCTCATCATGTTCACCTCTTTCTCATAATCTGGACGACAAAATAGTTGAGAGTGCTTTATTACATATTGATCACCAGTGCATAGACGTATACCGCACACTACGCACACAAAACATTGTTCATGGAAAACGCACTCGCCTGCTCGCATTACCAATTCACCAGCAGCGATATGATCACCACAACTGCCACAACTACGGTATACGCACCTAAAACAAAAATAAAATTAATTTAATTTTTCACTTTATTATAATAATAAGTATTATTATTTAAATTTCTCAGGGACTGACTATTGAGAAGTTTTGGTTACGTCTGTGAACACCAGTTTGTTTTATTTTTCCAATTTATTCGCTAAAACTAGAGAAACTAATGATGTTTAAAAAATCTGATTTTATGTAAATCATAATAACTTTATGGTTTATTTATTTCGAAACAATCTTAATACTTTACGTTAAAAACAAACAGATTCCTCTCAAACAAGCGTATATCTAAGCAAACATACTTGAACTTAAAATAGTTGATTATTTTTTTATTTTATCATTTTTCTTTTATGCTTTATGTTATTTTTTGGTATCAGTTCGATGCGCACACTAAACATTAATGTATAAAATAAGTTATGATGTGAAATGTTAGATATGGGTGAAGATTGGGAGCGGTAGTTTTTTTATCTCTGCTTATCATAAGAACGTAAAATATAAATTTAATCATATTCTATTTTCAACGTTTCCATCAATCTAGTGTTTTGAAGAGAATACCAAAACTAATTTGAATTTTTTGAATTATCTTATTTAAAATAAATTAACTTTGTTTTTGATGTTATATTCTAAGGCCTACCATTTTATTTATTTGAAAAAATTACAAACTCGATTTTTGTGAAATTTTATATAATAGAATTTAATAAGACTCTTTTAAGACGTGTAACTCATGATGCATTTTTTGTGAACAAAAAATTAAATTTCCAAAATATTGGTATGTTGTTAATTGAGTAGGTACGAATAAAAATACCTATATATATTACGTATTTTTGTGTATAAATAAACAAAACAAGAAATCATGATTTTCCTTAACATGTGTATATTTTGATATTTTAAGTTATGACTAATAAATAAACAAATCCAGCATTGCAGCACGAGTCATATTTGTATGCAGACATAAATTTGATTTATTGAAATCAAATTTGGTTGAACATAACCTGTCTTAACATATATTTTATCAAGAAAAATCCATTGCTATACTTTTAATTCTAAAAAAATTGTATATACATAGATTTAATTTATTCATCTCTAAAATTTTTACAGTTTATTATCAAAAATTCTTCAAAGATTAATTTTCTATTATGCAACATTACTAAATACTTAAAGCATAAACCACAGTCCATAATATTTCTATATGTTTATACAAGTGAGTTTTGTTATCAAGTAATATTTAAAAATAAAAATATTGAAAAGTACGGTTTGAGAATTACGTAGTACGATTTATTCAGGTATTTTTCTAACGTTTTATCTTGTAAGTATTTCAACGAAATGTCTGATAAGAATTTTTTCAATATTTCGTCTACAATATAAATACAAAATAGCAATATGTATATATTTTCCAACATTTTCAAATATATAAGGAAATTTTATTTTAGTGCACACGCATTTCCTATTTGTTTAACCTCAGACTGCTAAGTCTTTTAATAATTTATAATATGTATCTGTGTGCGTACCACGTATAAATGTATATATATAAATACACAGAAGCGTGTGTACGTAGATATAAATGCTATGCTGTTTGGTAGGCTTTATAGAAAGCTACAAACATGTACCAAGTATACATAAACATAATACATATAAATACAAATATGTACCTATACGTGCAAGCGTAAACACAAGACTCGCGGGGCTGTAGAGCTATAAAAACAAACCGCCTAATAGACGTGTATATATATATATATATATATATATATATCAGTAGAAGGGGTCCCAAAAAGCAGTCAAAAGTATAGTCGGTGCAACATATTGTTTTTATACATCGCATCATCGCGAATCTCTCTCCCTTCATCCACCCGACGACACTTGCATTATATTTATACGACGTGACGTTTTCACGGTTGTTACGGTAACGGTGGGGGCGACTCATGGAGAGAGAAAGACAATATGTTACAAACAAGTTCTATACTGTCATCCCGCTTTTTTCCCCTACGATCTAAGGGCACAAATCGCTGTGACCGTCTAATATCTGCACCTGCTCACCCCTTACTTTTTTTCGGTGACGTAAGACGTATGCGTGCACGTGTTACCGCAAAATTCAAGAATAAAATAAAAACGATTTATTTACACACTCAAACTTATATGTGGGTGTGTGTGTTATATTTCTATTTTTTTTCTTTATGATTTTATCACCGAAACAAACGGCTCCTCCCTTTTAAGACCGTAAAAACTAGAGACCGAAAACTTTTAGCCACAAACTGCGCCCGCCAATAAAAGAGAAAAAAGAAAAACTATCAATGCAGCATGTTTTTTTTTTTATATTGACAGTTAGGTTAAACTCCCCCTCTCACATACAAACACATACGTGCACAGATAAATTATTTACATATATTTTTATATGTAATGTGTAATATTTTGTAAATTATAATAATAAAGTAACGAATTGATATAATTTAAGTACTAAACATTTAAATTAGGTAATTTAAAATATTTAGATTACATTTTTTGTAATAATGACTTAGCATATAACTAATTATAAAAAAATGATATTCAATAATTTATAATATTACAGTCTTAAAAATATTTACCTGTTTAAAATTTTAAAACTATTAAATTGTGTTACTATTCATGACTATACAAAAAAAATAATAGTAATTTGATATTTTAATTTATTTTAAAGGCTTTTAAAATTTAATTAAGCAAATCTTTATGAATTATGATAAATATTGTCATCTAATGAAACTTCCCGCACAGTTTTCAAAAACCAAATTAAGAGAGGACTTGGTAGGAAGAACTTTTGAATTTATTACTAACGTAAACTGCTGCGTTTATTTATATCGTAACCTATAAATATATTTTTAAGATTTCATTATGATTTTTTAGGGGATGATTTATTATTATTAAATTGTGTTTCTATCCTTAAATCTATAATAATTTTAATCCTATCTTCTATATAATAGGTACTTGATATATATAATAAAATTTGTAGAGTAAATTTTTATATTTTATATATTTATTTTTTTATAATAATATTATTAGATACAACTAGCTGCTGCTATGATAACTAATGATATATATCGTCAAAAAATATATTACCTATTTTTACAAGTTAAATAATTCAATAAAAAATATATATATAACATTATGACAACTTTTGGAAGCCATAAAACGAATTCATTGGAATTGTATATGCGATAAAATTGTTCACTTTTTATGTGAAAAAAATAAGCCTTGATTAATAGTTAGGTAATACCATAAAAGAGTGTTGATTTAAATAATGTGTTATGATTATTTTTAATGTTATACTATACAAATTCACAACTTTAAGCAACAAATATTTAAATGTATACAAAAATAATACTGATTTTATGATAAATCCATTATCTATAAAATATTTGTATGTATTTATTGTACGATAAAATTACGATTATCATAAAAAAATGTTAGTAAGTATATTTAAAATTTATAAAAGTTAACCAAACTAAAAAGTAACAATAATTTTTATTTCTCCAATAAAGATTTCAAATATTGTATTTTAAATGAAAATACATATTAAACAAGTAATAATTAATAAAATATAATTTTTGAACTAATTGATCATTTTTAACTTTCATATAATATATCAAATATTAATATTTAACTGTATTATAAATTTCACACTACACATTTCTGGTTTCTGTGTAAAATTAATTTGAAAAAAAAACATTAACAAAATGCATTAAACAATATTTGCCACTGCTAAAATATAGCATATTTGGTGTAGATACCTACATAATATTATAGTACAAACAGTGGCAAATATATGTAAACGCGTTTAATGAAATTCATACAGCACCCTAGACGTCGAAAGGTCGTATTTATTAATTCGCGTTACGTCAAAAGGGGTGAAATTCATACGAATCTCAATACAGTATATTATTTATGCGCTCACATATACCCTCCACAAACGGTTCTATACGTATTATGCGCGCGACTGTACCTCTCTGTCTTCCTCTAATGGCAATTCAATGATTATAAATGCCTCGCTAGCCATTCCCTGTCAGCCGTTTATTAGCATAAAATATATATATCACCACCGTGTGTGTGTAGTTGTATATAAATTTTTTCCTTACTTTGTTTCCCCTCCGTATATATCGTTTCGATAGTAAAATAAAAAAAAAATAACGAAAAACAATGAGTTCTGCGGTAGCCGAATGTATTGTGACGACAGAGGGGGAGGAGAACGTGACTTCGATTGCGAGAATCCATTCATATATTTATATATACATTTTTATCGCTCCCTAACTATTTATAGGGATTGAAAAAACACGTGTTTCCCGCAAAGAGGGTGGACGGGGGCGTTCGCGGACACTGCATGTAGGTGTATGTATATATATTATGGTAGTGCTACGTCATCGAAACGCAATTCATGGAATTACACCGTGTAATTGCGTAATTGATCGTTTTTGGATTGACGTTAACGAGACGACAGACAAACAAGGCGAGTGGTTAGGGACCTAAATATTCGACTCATTGATCTGTGAGCTAAATTTCCTAGCACCGAGCTTTACATGAATTTTACAATAAAAAAAAAAATATTCAATACTGAAATAATATAATTTTAAATAGGTGTAATAGGTACGGGACTCGAATCTTATAGCACTAAAAATAATTAAAATATACGTAATAATATGTCCTAAAAATAATAAAAATATACAGCAAAAATAAAATTTATTTTATTCACAATTTAAAAAAAAATATATTTATTAAATAATTTTTTATAAATTAATATACTTTTAAATAAAAAAAATTATAAAAAACTAAAATTAGTTTATTATTATTATTTTTTTTTAATTACTTTAATTATTTGATCGAAGACATGGCAACTATTCAAAATTATAGACATGGCAATTATTCAAAATTATCTGGAAATAAAAATAAAATGCAAGTAACTGTTGTTAATTAATCAAATAATATTCTAAATTATTTTACCTGAGTTACATTGTATGATTAAATGGTTTGCAACAATGTCTTGTTAG